GTGCATTGAGCAAGACACAGATGGAGAGGGCAGAGAGGGAGAGAAAAGAGGTGGAGCAGGAGAGACAGAGGAGATACAAGGAGAAGAAACTACAGCGATTCATCACCAGCAAAGCTAGAGCCAATGACATATCACAGAGCCTGGAGTCAACCAACAGGGAGAAACTCAGACAGCACAGGTAACATGTGATTAGCTAGGCCAATCTTTGTCAGAATATAATTCAGAATTGGTTTAGCATGGATTGTTTTCCTTCATCAAGTGTTTCACACAAATTGATTAAATAATTGTATCACAAAATATACAGCAAATTTAGTGAAACCAGAGAAAGTCTCCATGTATATATGGAAGAAGAAAAACCATAAGGCAATTGATTGCACTTGAGTTATTGTATTAAACTTTAATTGTGCAAATTTTATATGTAGAAGGACAAGTTAAATAAATTTGGTAATACTGTTACAGCCCTACAGGTTATATCTTAATTGTGTTGAGCAATGCACAAGGTAGCTAGGAATCAAGGGTATGTTCTTGAAACATACACCACATATTCTATTTGTCTGTGTTTGCTCTTTGATTTTTTCCTTTTTTTGGTTTGTCTGTTAGTATCAATGAATTGATCGAATATACTGCACATACGTAAGATGCAATGAGACCTACTTGGAACGCAATATGAAAACAAATATTCAAATTTCACTGATGTCAATATTTTGAAAATATATTTCTTTACCTGCAGAGAATCTGAGAGAACCCGTGAAGAAGAATATGAAAGGGAGCTACAGGAAATGATGACCAGGATTGAATCCCGTCCTCTTCTCTTTGAAAGAGAGAGTGAGGTAACATGTGGAAAAATTCTTATACATGTATTTGAAAACATTATTGGAGATAAGAAGCTAGACATACCCTGACTCTGAATGGAAAATAGATTAGAACTTGGATATACTACAAATAGGATTTTGTAAAGCTTATTTGATGGCAAAACATATCCTTAAAGCTTATCTTCCGCAGTTTACAGGAGGGATTAGACTGCCCTGCAAAGTCACTGGACAGGTGGTTATCTCATCAACTCAGCTCTCAGTTAACATAAGAAAAAGAGGATCATGGGGGACCAATGGTCACCGATTAGGCATTGTTTGTTATATAGAGGGCGCAAGTAGCTACAAGTAGTGCAGTGGGCCTTTAAAGAGAAAGTTGAGTTCTGGGAAGAGGTGAAAAATAGTTTGTGAGCACTATCATTGTATCCTGAAAGTTTGGAAGAACATCAGATAAAACATGTTCCCTGAAAAGCATGGTTCTTCAAATGCCTTCACATTCTAAATATGGCATGTAACATCATAAAAATCGGGATGGATTTTTTTGCCACATGTTTGTTTAGTCCCATATACACCTTTCTGTCTACAGTGCTTGCATCTTTACCAAGATTGGGCCATATTTCTTAGCATTTTGATGATTCCAGAACCTTGCAATACACATTATATGCTAGATGATCAATCTTTTCTGATTGATTCCACAACGTTTCTTTCACAATGCAATCAATTGACCAGAACTCAACCTTCTCTTTAAATTGCATGATTACTAGTATGCATATGTGTATTGAAGGAGACTTCATTTTCGGATAAAGTTTTGATGGGGAAAATCATCAAACTGGACAAGAATAAGAGGTGTTTTATTTACATGAAGGGGTATTGCATCACATTTGTGATGGGTAGGATGATAAACATGATCCTTCAGTGGGGCACTGCAAGTTATTCTCCTCTAGCACTATGTAGCAGACAACTTAGCTGCCGACATTTTGTTTTGTTTACTAAAGATATGTGTGCAATTTACAAATGATGCCTGATACGTCGTAACTTTCGTTCTTTGGAAAGGTAAGTTTAGAATGAAATGCCAAGAACACAGTTTTACAGAGCTGTTAAAATCAGAAGACTTTTTGAAGAGTGAAGTTTTAAAGATGGGGTGATAGAAGATTGATTAAAAAAACTCTTTTTTATAGTGGTCATTATTTTGGTTAATAGAATACTCCACCACATGAATGTTCGAATATTAGCATTTAGAATCTAATAATTCATAATCTTTTAAAAACATATATTAATTTGTTTCCCTTCCCTCTCATTTTACCTTTTAGTTGAATGCCAAGAAACGTGCAGAACGAAAATATGAGAGTGCCCTGAAGAGTGCAGGAATCAGTGAGGATTTCCTGGAACGTAAAGGACGCTCAGGAGCCACCCAGATATTGAGTGGTGGAGGAAGAGATGAGGAGAGCAAGAGTGAGGCAAGCTTCAACTATGATTACGATGACTATGATGACTCTCCAGCAAGTGATGATGATTATTAAAGTAGAAAATATATCAGTAATTCCCTTTTTTGTCCTTCTCCCTGACTATTGTATGGACCACCTTATTTTGGCTATCATCCACTCTGTAATTATGTCTTGATACTTCAAAACATTAAGCAAATATTTACAAAAGTATATCTTTAAATAATTATGCAGTCAGTTGTAATGTCATTTACCAATTGAAGAGTTTGTAATGGGCATCACACAGGCATTTACTACTCTCAATATGCATATTTATACAGTTTATAACTAAAGTAGTATGTGAACATTTTATAGTCCTGATTTATGTTTCCTGAGATGTGACAAATTAAAGCTTACACCTAACACTATTAACAAAGGCTCTACTGGTAATTCAACAAGTCCACCTGTCATTCTTGAGTTACATAAACGCAAAAATATCAATAAACAGGGGTATGAATAATTTAGTTGTTAAACCTAAATAAAACTACTCTGTGTGTGTGTTACATCATGTAATCTTCAAATCCATTACTTGTGTCACAACATTCCCTTTTGACAAGTACGGTATGCTTCTTTGGGTTTTCTATCACAAGTTGGGTTGAAGTTGCCAAATATATGTTTATTTGTGAGAATGTGATGTTTCGTTGTCGTGAATACTCGGTATATATTTCATTAGTTTTTATTAATATGTAGGATAATTTCACTTTTGCATAATTCATGTGTTGTGGAGTATTTGTGCTTGTATATTGCCTATGACATACAATATTGTTAGTACGATTGATGAATACGTCATTATTATGTTGCATATTTATGTAGTGCTAATAAACGTGTAGAAGAAAAATGAAACACAGAAAATAATAGATGGTTGTTTTTTTGCTTAAATATTATTGTAAGTATTAATAACTTTGTTATCTTGAAATGAATATGCAAAGTATATGGGATTAAGTGATTTGTTTTGGTGTATAAAATGTTTTTGATTTTAGTATTTGTTTATAGAGGAACTAGTGATCATCTAGGCCTATTACATTTACTTTAAGATTCTGTGTGGTAAATAAATCAGTATATTTCTTCATCATATATTTATTTGAAAGCGCTGAGTGAATGCATGGTTTTGACAATTTTTGTTAATCTCATTGCTGGTAATTTGTTGGCCATCAGGCATATGATTCATGGGCTACTGTTGCAAATAGTGAACATTAATACAGATTATATTTAACTGTGTGAACAGTTGGATCCATATACTCATTGTTATGGAGGAGTTGAGAAAGTGCATGGAAATTAAATAACATATCAGGTAAATTTAAAACAGTTTCATGTGATATGATTTATGGAAATTAAGTCAATCTCTTAAACCGGATTTTGTCTTTATTTTGTGTTGTCAGTAAGATTGCTGATTAAAAATCTGTCTACATTTATGATGTTGTATAAAACTGAAATATCACTTTGATGGTTAAAAATTACTGGGTTTTCAAATATTTCATCAATAATGTTGGTGTGTAAATAAATATATAATTTAATCTATATTCCTGGTTGTTTTGACATTATGCAGATGAATGTCATTTCAAATTCCTACATTCCTGAACTTTTTCTTGTACTGTACATGAAAATTTGTGGAACCAAATTGAAATTTGTAAATTTTTCCAGTAAGAATGTTTTAATTGTATAATTTCTGTCTCCTATGTCTCCTCTGATGTAATAAATCTAGCAATATATCCATTAAACAACTATATAATCATGAGTGACTATTTATTTTGATAACAACATATAGTAGCAGACCTGCAAGGTGGGGGAGGGGGGGGGGGGGGGGGGGGAGTCATTCATAATTATATGCAATTTCTATAAATTGAACCCAAAACAAGTTTTTTAATCTGTCATATAATAATGGCTTATAGATAGAGAGAGAGAGAGAAAGGAAGAGAGAGAGAGAGAGAAAGAGAGAGAGAGAGAGAGAGAGAGAGAGAAAAAAGAGAGAGAGAGAGTGAGAGAGAGAGAGAGGGTGGGGGGGGGGGAATAGAGAGATGGGATGGTATGGTGAAATAACAACCTATATATTCTCTTCCCCGCCCCCGACCCCCCCCCCCCCAAAAAAAAAAAAAAAACAAAAACAAAAACATAGGAATTGCGTGTTTACTTTGCCTTGCCTTCTCATCATGAAAAATGATTTCCAGGGGGGGGGGGGGGGAAGGGGGAAGTCACTCATAATTATATGCAATTTCTTTAAATTGATCCCAAAACAAGTTTTTTAAATCTGTCATATAATAATGGCTTATAAATAGAGAGAGAGAGAAAGATGGAGAGAGAGAGAGAGAGAGAGAGAGAGAGAGAGGGTGAGAGAGAGAGAGTGAGAGAGAGAGAGAGAGAGAGAGAGAGAGTGAGAGAGAGAGGATGGGGGGGGGGGATAGAGAGACGGGATGGTATGGTGAAATAACAACCCCCCGCCCCCCCCCCCCCCCCCCCCCCCCCCCAAAAAAACAAAACAAAACAAAACAAAAACACAGAATTTGCGTGTTTACTTTGCCTTGTCTTCTCATCATGAAAAATGATTTCCATACACAAATAACGTCTTCATTAAAATGAGATGCTAAAAGTTTTTCTTAAATTATTTAAGTTTTCATTTATAAAAAGGTTCTGCACATTTTCGCTTTTTATGTTGGCACAGTTAGAGATTGCGCGGAAGTGCGTTTTGTTGTGTCATAGGTCAGATTGCCGTATATTACAATATCCGGTTTCAATCGTCACAACAGAAAATGAGAGACAAAGCGGAGGGGGACACTCCGAAAATACATAACAATCACTGTCCAAACAAAGGATTAAGGTTTGGAAATTATTCATATTTGTATTAAAGTGAGTATTGAACATGGCTATTATTTTATTTCATTGCCTTACTTTTACATATATTTTAAGATTGTAATGTTGAAATGTGTGGTGTTCTCGATCTTTCTCGCTGCCTGGTGATGTTGCTAAATCTTGCCGTCGACGCTGCTAACACGACAATGCAATGCATAGCATATTTAACAGCCATTTAACTTTGTGCATATGCCTGTGGCTGTGTAACGAACACAGTAGTGTCATGTTATGTTGGGCCTAGTTGAGTAAGCAAGGATAGTAGGATACAGAATAGACTGACATGAGTCACAATTGTAGAGTGTTCATCCAAGTTGGACCTTATTTAAAAAAGCATTTTAAAATCGGTCAAAGAATAAGTATGAAATGTCTGATTTTGCTACCGGAGTGGTAGCGATTTGCTTAGAGTTAGACCTAGATCTACCTTCCATTAACCAACTCCAGGGTGAGGGAGCTCTGACGTCGGAGCTCCAGATCTAGACCTAGACTAATCGGTGCTTGTTCAGAAACCTATCCAAAGTTGTGTGAAGATATCTACCGTAATGTCTCAGATCCTCATTACGGTAGATAACTTCACACAGGCGTGCGCCCGCCCGCCCGCAACCCACCATCGGTATGCACTTGTATTGTGCAGCGGTTTGCCGTGAAACCTGAGAAAAAGTGAATACTGATATCATTGTTTTTCCGAAAAATACTCCAAAAATAACAAGAAAATTGACACAAAACAGGTAATAAACATAACAACTTTTAACTCATTATCTTTATTGGGACATTTAATGAATATTTACTTCATTTTGGGTATGTTTTAGTAGGGTATCTGCACGCCAGAGTTACGGGTCAAATTTTTGTCATGAATATTCACTGTGCAAATACCGTGCATGCATACTGTCTCTTCGCCATGTTGAATCAACGATACAACATCAATGAATCGGTTTAGGACGAGGAATCACCCCTTTTCCCATGGAAGACTTCTTCAAATTAATTTCAAGTGTGGGGCGCGATGCCCAGAGGAGTCGAAAAACATTTAAAGTCAAAATTGTAATTACTACCATTTCACATTTCGAAAAGAATGTCTTTTGTGTTTTAGGATTAGAACTGAAGCTCCGTCGTCGGAGCTCCCTGGAGTTAACCTTCAATCTGAATCCATGTGTTCCTGATGATAACTTTCGACTTGTCCTAAATTATTTTGTCGTCTGGTCAGTATTTTCAGGCTTCTGTAACAAGTAACATTCAAAATAATAATAATAATATTATAATATAGTAATAATAGCCTAATAGTCCACTCCAAATTTTATTAAACCGAAACGGAAAGGAGAAGGTAAAAATAAAAAATAAAAAACAAGGCATTTTTACCAGCCAAAATTCCTCCGTATGGTCAGAAGCCTGTTTGTTTTGTGTATGGATCATAACAAATTATATTTGAGGAGGCGCGATAGCTCAGTCGGTAGAGCAGTGGTCTCGTAATCCGGTGACCTGGGTTCAAAACCAAGGCAATGCGCTAGTGCCCTTTGGTAAGGCATTAATCCTCGTTACCAGGTCACTCGGAGAGGACCTAAAGCCGTCAGTTGCTTACTTAAAAGCATTTGTGCTTTCTTAGCAGTCAGGTAAAATAACCACCACCACCACCATATAAAAGGATAGTATGTAGACAGTGAATATTTAAACTAAACGACCAAAAGGTACATGTTGTCTTACAGGCTTGGTGATTTATGAAATATGATAATGATATCACCAAGTCTTACTTTGCATGCATTTGCCTGTTTGGAATACAGTGTTGGGCGGTAAATACCGGTGGTAAATACCGGTAAATACTGTCCGGTAAGTAAGATGCGCGTCCGGTAAATATGTAAAAAATGGGAAATATGATTTTAATTCTCTATTTATTAATAATTTTACTTGTTTTTAGCTTCATAACTGAAAATATTGTTCTGAAATAATTAGCAGCACAATACTCATAGTAGGAAGTTAGGAACACACAAACAGATTTATAAAATCCTCACTGCATACAAAATTTTACACACCCAAACAAATGGCATTTTGTGCATATGCTAATTCATGAATATGGTAATTAGCAACTGGGAACCAAAACCTTCATTCAAGTTACTTTTATTGTAAAGTTTAAGATATTTGAATAAAATCAGTGAAAATTTGAACAAAAATCGGGCTAGGAATAAGGAAGTTAAAGTTTTTTGAAATGACTAGTCACTAGAGGGCGATATTCAATTTGATGACATCATTTGTGGACAACTCTCCATGCCTTTTGTACGTCAAATTTCATGTTTTTCCTTCTTTCTTGTGGTTGAGATAATAGAATGCAAAATGATATTCTACTTCACATGTTATGAAATCCGATCAAGAACACAAATAAATAGAAAAAAACGAAAGACTTGTGAAATTTGATGTACAAAAGGCATGGAGAGTTCCCTTTAATGAAGAACATCATATCTAGATTAGGTGTATATTTGGTATCTTTTTCCAGTATTTTTTTCCAGCATTACATAATTACAGACATAGACAAAGTCAAACACACGAACAAGCACACACACACACACACACACACAAATAGTACACACAAGAGCAACCGTACTCACCACCATTGTTGTTATGTTCAAAATTGGACAATCCCTATGAACAAGTGAGTGGAAAAATATATTTCCCGGTATTTCCCAGTAAAAAGTGGTAAATACCGGTAAAAACCGGTAAATACTGGTAAATACCGCTTATTTCCCGGCGTCCGGGACATAAGCCTCCGAAGCGGGAAATATGCCAACCCTGATTATTCCAACAAAAACACAAATGGGAACATTTATAATCACTCACTCATGCACGCAACAAACCTTGTAAACTTATTTAGCTGTTATTTAGTTAGCTGGAGGACTCTTCTTTCTATTTATGCAACACACTTCAAAATCGAATTGAACTACAGTAGCAATGTGAAAATTTGTTACTGGAGCTTACCATCCTAATTTTCCAATGAACTGACATGTGATGTGATGTACATTTAAACTTTAAAGGTTGTATTTTGAAAGCAGTGCACTGTATTAATACCTGGATGTGGTTCGCACTAACTCGGCACTAGAATGAATGGATTTTAAAAAGTTGGGTTGTGGGCCATTTGTTAATGACAAAACCACAAATACATACTACATGTATGTATTTCTTACTTTACAACTGAGCCAAACTTAATTATTCAAACAACTGCCTTTTTGTTGTGGCTCTATACATGTATGTACTTTTTGTTGTTGTTGTTGTTTTTTTGGGGGGAGGCTGCGTCCACAGGAAATAAAACATCTCAAGTCTCAATCCTGTAAATCTGCATGTTACTAGAGTCTCTCAAGGCATTGTATAAATATGAATTGAAGAGTGCAGCATTATCAATTAGTGCAACATTATCAAGACCGGGACTTTATTCGTGTTTAATCTCTTTTATATTTTAATATGGTATTCAACTGTCTGTTTTGTTTGTTTTTATGCATAGAATCTCACAGTGGGAAACTGATTATAAGGGGAGGCTTCTTCAGCAGAAGTTGGCTGTGGTGTAAGGGGGAGCCGTGAGCTGAGGCAGATTCAGCAATGGCAGAAGTGGATCCAGAAACCCTACTGGAGTGGCTCCAGATGGGGCAAGGGGAGGAGAGAGACATGCAGCTCATAGCCCTTGAGCAGCTGTGTATGCTCCTTCTCATGTCAGACAATGTGGATAGGTGTTTTGAGAGGTGAGGATTCCATTGGTTTATGTACAGTACATTGTAGTTTATTTCAAAGTTGAATTCTACTCGATTAGAGTTTTGTTATATTTGATATTTTTATTATCTGTATTATTTCAGGTCACCTTTTAATTGAGAATCATGTGACTTCTGAGACTTGTAAGAAATATCAATATCTGATCAAATAATAATGATGTACCATACTTAATATATATATAGCGCATATCACAAATATGTCCCTACATGTATGGCTGTGATGGAGGAAAGGAAATAAAAGAGAAGAGAAGAGTGAGATACACTCAGCATATATATACTTCCTTAAGTTATCAGTTAATATCTGTTATTGTTTCTAAAAATATAAAACATTTAAAGACATGTTTTAAGTCTGTCAACAGTATCACAATTTGTGATATTTCTGGCAAACTGAAAAGAGTGTGACCCTTAGAATGTATTTGAGGGATAGTACAGAGAGACTTTTTGAGAAGACCTGAGGCTTCTGAATATCCTTTATGACACATGGGGTAAAGTTAAGATTAAGTCTGCTGTAATATGCTGAAAAATAAGTTGTCAGTTTTTGTGAGATTGAATAATAATGAAGACATACATTTGTTGTATGGAAGAGGGAGAGGGGGGTACATTGTTTAAATAGTTATGAGAAAAACTAAATGGTAATTTTAGTTTACAATGTAATAATGTATACCGGATTACCGGTACAGATGCACTTTGAATTCATGATGAAAAGTAACCGATGCATTGGTACACTAACATGTTCATGAAGGAAGGATGATCCTGAAGTTCTAACTTGAACTAAATATCATACATATATAGTACAGTAAATCCTGTACAATAGTAGTTTGCATTTTTACTGAGAGTGGGTGTCAATGTTGGATATCTCATAAAAATAGATTTGAATTATAGGCTGTCGGTATAGCCACAATCAGGGTGCAAAACCATTTGCACTTGGGTCCAAAAATAAAGTATGCAATAGAGCAGTTTCATCAACCCCAAATTGTTCATCTATACCCTGGAGTTAATACCCTGCAATATCCTTGAGGAAACTATCTTGGTTATCATTTTATGAGCATCAACACCACAGGGGGTGGTAGGTGTTACGGACACTACACAATGCTACAGAAATGGAATTCTTCAGCATTATTTACCTTAACATTCAAATATTTTGCACTTATTTGGGGAACTTCTTGGCCATTTGTGAAATATAAAACAATTCACACTCACTTCAGTCCATGAAATAGACGCCGTATACACATCAGAGGTAACACAAGGTCAAATCTGATAAATTACATTTTTTCAAAACCTGAAACTTTTTAAAAAGCCAACCAAACATTGATAAATGAGACAAATTACAAAGTTTAGTCCCATCTGTATACATATAAAAAGAAATCAAATTGCTAGGAAGGCTCGTATCATTTCATAAGTTGTCCAAATAACTTATGTACAAAATCCTATAGGATGTTACGGACACTACACAAAACTACCGAAATGGAATTTTCAAGCATTATTTATCTTAACACTAAAATATTTTGCACTTCTTTGGGGAATTTTTTGGCCATTTGTGAAAAATAAAACAATTCACACTCACTTCAGTCCATAAATTAGACTCAGTATACACTTCAGAGGTAACACAAGGTCAAATCTGATAAATGACATTTTTTTTCAAAACCTGAAACTTTTTAAACAGCCAACCAAACATTAATAAATGAGACAAATTACAAACTTTAGTCCCATCTGTATACATATAAAAACAAATCAAGTTGCTAGGAAGGCTCGTTTCATATCATAAGCTGTCCAAAATAACTTATGTACAAAATCCTATAGGATGTTACCCATTGTTACGGACACTACATTTTATACATATACATGCTATTCTTTGATGCAATATATAAGTAATCCATTTGCTTTTTTTTCTGCCATCATTGTTGTTGCTGTATAATATCTTGAGGCCAACAGAGGGTATCTTTTCAAATCCTCATTACCAAGTCTCTTGGATAGGACTTAGGAAGTCCACCCTTTCAATAGAAGCAGAAAAATCTGACAAACAGAAAACACAAGTTGTTCTATGTAGTTCCAGGGGTGGCCCAATTGTAGTGTTGTTTTTTTTCTTCTTCTCCATCTTCTTTGCTCACTTTAAAAATTTGAAAGAAGCTTAATTTAGTCATAAGAACATGAAAGAAGCATAACTATTTAGACAATTAAGGAAGATGAGAGAAGACATTAAAAAAATGATATAAAGAAGGAAAGCATGAGGAAAGATTGAAAGAAGGAAGAAGAGAATAAAAAAGATAACTACTTAACAAAAGAAAAAGAAGAATAAAGAAAAGGATAAGAATCAGAAATAAGCAAAAGGAAGAACAATACAATAAAATAAGGAAGAACAGAAAAAGAGGATAATACTGTACATCATGTAGCATAATTAAGGTGAGCCTCTTATTAGACATTAGCATGGAAACCCTTGAAAATGCAAAAATATGATGTACTTCATTATTTTGAGAAGTAACTCATAGGACCTTACAAGATTTGTTCAGTGAGGCCGAAAATACAATATGTTTGGAAAAGAAAGTTCCCTCTGTGTCCTTTTATCGTCCGTGCTGCAGGATATATTCAGTATGTTTAGAACCCATTTTTAGGAGCTCGTTAAAATAGCGTTGGAAAAATTGGGGTCAAAGAAAGACCACAGTGTGTACTTTATGAAGAGTAATCCAACCAACTAAGTGGTATACTTGTAAAACCTTAGACAGTGTACGCCGAAAAACAATGATAATTAATCTATATGAAAAATTATGGTGTACGCAATAACCATTTCTGATATGTTTATTCGATAATCCTCAGATGTTCGGTGATCGTTATTGGTGGTGGCAATTAAACCAGTATTCATAAAATCCTCAGATGTATATAAAAATGTCTGTAAAGAAGTCAAAAGCGACCTCAGTCTATTTTTTTTTCTCTCTCTCTATCAAATAGTTAGCTTACTTTATCAAGAGAAATTGTGAGCAAAAACGAAGACGATGATATATTTCATAATTTATATGTAAATCCCCTCAAAGGGGGTGTCCTCAAAAGAAGGTATGTTTCCATAGTCCTCAGCAGATACTAGTCATACATGTACTGGTGTGTGCCAAAGTGTTTATGTGTGTGTGGACATAAACTACAATGTAGTGACTTATACATTTTATAGGTAGGCAATTAAATGATTAAAATATTGTATTTTCTCATGCATCATACATATTTGATGTCATAGACAGCTTTTACATTGTTAAAATTTATTTTAGAACACTGTTATCCAGAAAATGAGGTATAGTTTGGCTTCCAGGCCTTGATATTACTCCTCCTGTAGTGTCCGTAACACATATCTGTAGTGTCCGTAACACTGGCTCCTACTCTTTTCTACCCTCAATATTGAAACTAAAACACAATGATGCATTTAATTTCATACTTTATTACATCTAACTGATATTGTTGAAATAAAATATAGATATCAAATTACTTGTTAGTCAATTTTTTTTTTATCTTTAAAATTAAATTCATGGAAAATAGCTTATTTGTTTGCGAAATATCATATCCAGGAGAAAACCTCCCATGGAAAGAGAATTTTTTGATTCATTGAGAAGAGCAACTGTATTAAATCAAATTTGAATTACAAATTAGTAGTATTTAGTTATCAATCTGTATTTTTACACCATTAACACCATCACACACTTGTGTTACGGACACTACATACGTTACGGACACTACAAATGCCATTCATTAAATTGCAACAAAAAAACTGTTATGCTTAGCTGAATATTATTATACCACAGCTAGTCCCCGGGGGTAGTTGCACAAATCAAAGTATATAAGAACTTTGAAAACATTTTCACATAGCAGGAATTACACCGTTACGGACACTACAGGAAATTCCGGACACAATTTATGATCGGAATGTGGGCATATATTTTTGTAACGTTTGTATCTTTGTTTAATTTTTTGTTTCTGATGATAGGACAACATGTTACTCAGAAAATATAACCAATTAGCTATTAATATAGTGCTAAAATATATGAATTATAGAGGCAAAATTATGCACATAGCTGTTTTTTTAAAAAGCGTTACACTCGTCTCTCTTCACAGAAATAACCACTGTATCGCAATTCTTGGGTCAATTCTCAAGCCGTAAAAAAATACTGAGTGGAGATAAAAAGGACTATAAGATGGCATGAAAGGATATGGCATATCTTGTGTAATTCCACAGTAGCACCTTATGAAAAAAGACACATTGTTGAAGTGCAAATGAGTAACAGCCAAAAAGGGGCATTTTTGGCCCTCTATTACCTTTCTCACACCGCCAACACAAAAGAAATTCAAACGAAAGTTGCTGCCTGATGAAGAACTCATATGGTCCAACATTTCAGGCCACAAGACATTTGATTAGATGACTTTGTGTTTTCAGGAGAGATGCGTAACACTGTACGTAGAATAGTTGCACCCTGATCGTGGCTATACCGTATATTAGTCCATGTAAAGAAAAGAAAAAAGTCATTGTAGTCCCATATGTACAAATACTTTTTTGACTGTTGTTGCGCATACATGTAGGCCGCACCCAGAATTTTTTATATTATCTATTTCGAAAATACTTCAGCCTTTACGCCGGCAAATACGGTACCTGTCTGTACTAGGGCTGCGACGAGTAGTCGAATGCTCGAGTACCCACACTGTTGACAAATATTCGGCCGCAAAAAAAAAAAAAAAACCCGGTCACCTGGCACTGTCCAGGCCGACGCTTACCCGTCCCAGGGAGAGCGGCAGCCCCTGGCATGGTACCGTCGGTAAAAATGTTTCCGAACTCAAGCACTGTCAAAATCACCACTCAGAAACTGGGACCAAATGTCCGGATTTCTGTTTGGACTTGGAGGAAAATGGATTATTCTGCCATCTTTGGTTTTTAAACAGCAATGTTTACTGTTATTATTATTATTAAATTGACGCCTTCAACTGCAACTCCAAGTAAAATTGCA